CAGACAAATCTTATTGCATTCTTTGACCAAGTGACAAAATTAGTGGACCAGAGGAATGCTGTGGACATAATTTACTTGGACTTCAGTAAGGCATTTGATAAAGTAGATCACAACCTACTACTTGACAAGATAGAAAAATGTGGGGTAGAAAGCACCACCACCAGATGGATCCGTAGCTGGCTGACCGGCCGTACTCAGCGTGTGGTCCTCAATGGAGGGAAGTGTGTAGTGGGGTGCCCCAGGGCTCTGCTCTGGGCCCAGTGCTCTTCAACATCTTCATCAACGATCTGGACGAGGGGATAGATAGGGAACTCATCAAATTTCCAGACGACACCAAGCTGGCAGGAATAGCCAACATTCCAGAAGACAGGCTTGGGATACAGGAGGATCTGGACAGACTTGAACACTTGCCGCTATCTAACAAAATGAAATTCAATGGTGAAAAAGTAAGAATCTACATTTAGGCAAGAAAAACCAAATGTACAGGTATAGTAGTAACTGTGAGAGGGATCTCGGAGTCCTAGTGGACAATCATTTAAATATGAGCCAGCAGTGTGCTGCAGCTGCCAAAAAGGCCAACACAGTGCTAGGCTGCATTAATAGAGGGATAGAATCAAGATCACGTGAAGTATTAATACCACTTTACAATGCCTTGGTAAGGCCACACTTGGAATACTGCATCCAGTTTTGGTCACCACGATGTAAAAAAGATGTTGAGAGTCTAGAAAGAGTACAGAGAAGAGCAACAAAGATGATTAGTGTACTGGAGGCTAAAACATATAAAGAACGGTTGCTAGAATTGGGTATGTCTAGTTTAATGTAGAGAAGGACAAGGGATGACATGATAGCAGTGTTCCAATATCTCAGGGGTTGCCACAAAGAAGAGGGAGTCAACTATTCTGCAAAGTACCGGAAGGCAGGACAAGGAGCAATGGGTGGAAACTAACCAAAGAGAGAAGCAACCTAGAACTAAGGAGAAACTTCGTGACAGTTAGAACAATTAACCAGTGGAACAACCTGCCTCCAGAAGTGGTGAATGCGCCAACAATGGAAGTTTTTAAGAAGAAACTGGACAGCCATTTGTCCGAAATGGTATAGGGTTTCCATCCTGAGCAGGGGGTTGGACTAGATGACCTCCAAGGTCCCTTCCAACTTTATCATCATTATTATTAACAGATATCCCAATACGTTTCCGGTTTCAACATATTACAATTCATTATATAACTTCTACTGACAGCTATACAAAGCGTTAGGTGCAAAACAATTGCTACATAAACTGCTCTATTCATAAAGTATCTTCTTTAGCATCACATTTACTTTGTCCTTTATATTTAGCTATAGGTTCTGCAAGTATTTTCTGATTTATGCCTTCCCCATAGTATGCCTGAAATGACATTTTGTTAACTAAGCCCTATGCTTACTCTCCAAAATTAACTTTCATTGGGGATTTAGGCTTTATTATGATCCAGTCGAAAATAGGATAAACGTGAAGAAACAAGATGTTCTCTTATTTATCTAAAATGGGATCGGTGACCTTCAAATGACAGTAGCTACAAAAATCCACTGTTCATAATGAAAACACCGCATGGGCTTCACCTTGTGTTGGTCAGATTCAAAAAAACCCTTTCCTAATTCAGTAAATTTAATTAGAAAATGCATATATTTCAACAACTAAGCGTAACAGTGAAACAGAATTATATGGAATATTTGACCATTGGTCCCCTTGAAGATTTTTTCTTATTTCACACTTATAGAGCTTCTACACTGTATGGGTCATTTTATGGTAGTTAAGATGTTCAAAATAAAACATTTTCCACACGCCAAGCATTTATAAGGCTTCTCCCTTATGTGGATCCTTTTATGCGTGTAAAGAGAACTGTTTGTAGACTCTTTCCACATTACATGCATTTATAAGGCTTTACTCCTGTGTGGATCCTTTTATGGGTAGTAAGACTGCTGCTCTGAATAAAGTTCTTTCCACATTCCATGCATTTATAGGGCTTCTCCCCGGTATGTATCCTACTATGGTAAATAAGTTGGCAGTTCTTAGTAAAGCTCTTTCCACACTCCATGCATTTATGTGGCTTTTCCCCTGTGTGGATCTTTTTATGGAAACTAAGGTCACTGCTCGAAGGGAAGCTCTTTCCACATTCAATGCATTTATAGGGCTTCTCTCCTGTGTGGATCCTTTTATGAACAGTAAGAGACGAATTTTCACTGAAGCTTTTTCCACACTTTGTGCACTTATATGGCTTCTCCCCTGTATGGATCCAGTAATGGGAAGTGAGAGAAGTACTAACAGTGAAGCACTTTCCACACTCCATGCATTTATAG